GATTGGGGATGAGGAGGAGAAGGTGGGCTAGCAACCCCCTGCGCTAGTATTTAACAGTATATCATGAGTCTGATATCATCATTATTATCATCAGACTAAGAACTTTAAAACATTTCACCATGCTTCAAGCATGTTTCACCAAATGCAAAATACATGTAGGCCAATGTTCTGCCACAGCAAAGTTGGTCCAGTTGTTTTTAAGTTAATCTTCGCCCGGTTGACCAATGATTACGTCCGATGGCAACCATTGCTCAGTCATATTATATGGTCGTTCAGCTAGTTCCTATTCTCTAAAATATAAATATTAAAATTAGACACTCCTACCCTTGACCTTGCACTCGCATTAAAGCCTTAGACCTATTTCACTATGACGTCAAAATAATAATGACGAGAACCACTACGTGGAACATACCGTTCCCAGTTCATTTAAAAGGACATGGCGTAAATACAGTAATCACCGTAGCAGTTATCKATATGTGTTATATAATAAGATTTTGGGACTTTCAAGATTTTTCGATATTTTTTTGTCTTAGGTTTACAATACTTTGGACGCATAGTAAGTGAACAGTTGAAGTTCCTTAAATTCTCTTCTGTTTGATATATTGTTTGTTTCGGGTCGGGTGTAATACTTACTAATTTCGTTCAATTTCCATACCAATAATGCTTGTCATTCTGCCAAGATTAAAGCTCTTTAACGTCCTATTCTTGGTTCTGAGCCCGTGGGGGGGGGGAGGGGGGGGACTCCCTAATATAAAAGGGCGGGGGTCATCGTCATCCCTTTTAGGGTCTGAAATCAGTGTTTTGGTCCCGCTTAGGGTTATAATGACGARAATTCCCACCAACAAAGCTTTGTGGTCCCTTAGCCGTCATCATATATTCATGTATATGACAACGTCGTCATAAACTCAATACGAACCAACGGCGTTTGATGCTTGTGCAAATTGAAAAACACATATAAAATCGGGAAACCAAAACAAAAAATAACCGTTTATTGATTGGTCCCTCTTAGGGGTGAAATTTCAGCGCTGCCACGCCCATCATCTCACAATACAGGTCCCTTTTAGGGGTCATTTTCAGAATTTCCGACGAGGACCCCCACCCTTTTATATTAAGGAGTCCCCCCCCCTTCCCTGGGGTTCTGAGACACTTGCTGTGCTGTTGAGGTGACGTTTTTGACATCATTTTGTTKGGGTAAGCAAATAACAAGGATACACTGTAAATCGAAATCGAATTCCTATTCTGAAAGAATCATTTTGGAATTGACAGGGCTACTCAGCTTTTCCTGASTGTACTAAATAATTAATCACATAGCTGCTTATTCTTCTTGTCAGTATGTTTTTGTTTTTTCTCAATCGTTCTTTTTTCCTTTTCTCTTTTTTCAGAACATTTTCTCRCATAAACCTGATTAAAATTTTCTTTTTTTCTTCATTGYCTTGTTATAAACTTTYACATTTTGTAATCTAAATTAGTATTTATAGCGGGCATCGCCCTGAATAGTCTTAACTAATTGCGATGYCCGCTAACTACTCATGTGTAAATTATTATTATTTATTGAATTAAACTTTGAAACTTTGAAACTTCATTAATTTCAAACGTTAGATACCACGAATAGGAGTTAACTGGCGAGGTTAGAAGGACTTAGTTGATCTAGGGAGCGAGTAAACTCATTTTTAGTTCTCCATACATTTCTTTGTAAATTCCGGGGTGATCGGCGCGTGGCGTGCGTGAAAAATATTCSAAAATAATTCGCTCTTGATTGTCGATAGAAGATTAACTTAAAAGTATTCCCATTTGATCCTCGATCAAAGGTTCACTCAAAAGTAATCGCTCTTGATCCTCGACAGAACTTATCAAAATTATTCGCTCTTGATTCTCGATCTAGAAGATTCACTCGTAAGTTTCCGCTCAAACTCAAAATATCCACTCGTATAAAGATGTCGCTCAGAATACCTCTCGTAAAGTTTCAGGGGGGATTTTTCATGCCCAAAACAGCAAAAATGTTCAGCAGTCTCATCTCCTTGAATGACCGCCATCATACCATGTGGTTTTCTTATCTGTGGGAGGAAAGTTGTTCCAGTCGATGTAAACTCGTGGGGAAATCGCCGGGCGCTCGRGTAAATCGTGGAAAAAAACTGTGCTTGCATTTTATAATCGGGAGGTTTTTCATGCCCCAAAAAGCAAAAACTTTCAGTAGTCTCATCTCCTTGAACGACAGCCCTCATTTACAATGTAGTTTTATCAGTGGGAGCAAAGTTGTCCCATTCGATGTAAGTCGTGGAGAAATTGGCGGGCGCTCGTTAAAAACCTAACGTGGAAAAAAAAATTGCGCTTGCATTTTATAAACGTGCCGGCCGATGCCTGGGCACGGTAATAAAGAAAGAATTCGTACTGAAACCCTGTAACATGCTGTGTATCTTCTAGAAAACCTGAACTAGCCCAGTCAGCTTTTGGAGACCAAAGGTTTTCTAGTTGGCAGCATGTCCATCTCTGTCGACCAGAAGTCTTACCGTTAAAACTCTCGCTTGTCGTCGCAATGCATGCCGGGTACGGCTAAAATCACTTTTAATATGGCGTTAATTAATCAGATTAGATTATTGTGTTCTCCAAATGACATTCAAGCRCCATTATATGAATCTAAATGCTACAGGGCTGTACATTTCTTTCGGTTCAACATCAATTAACATAGAGAAGCCGCTAGACTGATGAATCAAACCGCTCTGTCTTAGCCGGATGAATAAGAACATTTACCGTTTCATGGAAATAAAATTCTCATTTTAATACCGTGCATATCAGCCACATCGCTTCCTGAAAACTGGCCTTCTTTAGATGAGCAACAACAAATAAATCTAGATATTCCTCCGAAGGRGAAACGAAGAATAAAAATGAAATAAAAGCTTAAGAAATTGCAAAAACTTCCARGAAGTCAATTCCGCCTTAAACTATCAGCCATCGCAGATAAGGGTGCGCGTCATCTGTACACACCGTTACTGTGTTCACTCAATTATTTTTACTCGTTTTGTGGGATTGTAGGGTTTGAATTTGTCTCAGTCTTCCCGCGCCGTTATGTAGTTGAACGTGTTCTCGCAGAGCAAACCATGGCAGAACCAAGCGCTTTGTTAACTCGAGCACTGAAGACTTTGAGAAATGACCATAGTCTGACATATGAGATTCAATTTCTCGGTGATTTGGATGAGATGATAAGTGTTGTGCATTGCAAGTACGACGTTGCCGCGGGACCTGACAATCACTCACAAGTGCCGGTCGGTTTGTGTGGTTGATAAAACGATTACAAACTAAGGATTATGTATTTTGAGGTTTTCATGATATTTCGCACTTAAAAGCGATATCTTTCATGATAGGATTAAAAGCAACTCAAAAAACAACATTTTTGCCGCTCATTTTCGGAGAACGAGTTGGGCCAATTAGAACGCTGGGCCAAAGAAAAAAATCCAAGATGGCGGATTGTGATATATAAAAAAACACTTTTTGAAAATTTCCGGCAATGTTATCGAAGAAATTCAATCATAAATATTATATATCAGTCTGATTCTAGTGGACCTAGTGTGGTCACTACTTTTTTCGTTAAGATTTTAATTACTAAAACTCACTGTAGATATGCCTGAAAAGAAAATAGTCTGAACACGAGGGCTCGTACGAATGTAACTTCCAGACTGACTTCAAACACAGTAAAATATCATTAAATCCCGGCAACCGCATTTAGAAAAACAGGAAAAGATAGAGATGATAAGTATGATTGGAAAAATTAGTAATAATGATCTTGTCATAAAGCTTACAAAAATTAAGCGAATATCAATTAAGACTGATTATVTGAGCAGGAACTATCTGTCACTTTCAGCGTGGGAGTTTGTTTTTTAGTAGCGAAACCAATGATATCGTGAACATTCGATACAACCTGGATTTATTATTTCAATAACTGCAGAAGATTCCTGATTATAATATTGGTAATAATACAGTTATAACAGAATGAAAATGAACTGATTAAGCAGAGAAATAAAGAAGTTGAAACATTAAACAAATGAAACCCTGCGGGAAGCCATTTCAGCGAATTTCGTATGGTGATCTTTCAACTTGGTGATTGGCTAGAAATGATGTCATTGAACATAGTGAAATTATTGTAATGACTTCAGATTAACCAATCACGTGAAGGCCTACACTATGACGCAAGCAAGAAAACAGAGAATGACAAAAASATGAAAATAAAACAGAACAAGAGTGCAAATAATACACATGTGAAATAGATAGGTAACAACATAGTGCTAAAACTTAGACTAAATCATTTCTTATATTCTAATCACTATTAACGGCCACTATTTCACAGGTATATTGTTTGCAGTGCACTTTAACAATTTTAGGATTAACTGCCCACGTCTGATTATGTTTTTCCTGTTTTCTGCATGTTGTTTAAAATATATTGAGCTTGAATTAACTAAAATTCGACTAATTTTTTTCCCTTCGACAATTACGGAGTGTACAAATGTATGTAATCTCTCTTCACTCCAAAATAACCTAAAGTTCACATTCAAGATAAGAGGTGTTTTTACGGTAGACTCTGATGTCAGGAAATCGGAAAACTAGCTCAAGACTTGTTGATTCCGCTTGATYCAGCTAAATGTGTCTCAGTTCATGTTGATTGCAAACACAAAATATCTATCTTTATATTTGATAATAAATAATATGGTAATAACATCTCCTGCTTCACAGTTATTGACTTAACGATACACCTCATAAATTTAAAAATAAACGAAAACACTACTCGCCAAAAAGATCGAACCCAAAAAGTTCATATTAGCTATATCGTCAAAGCCAAGGCAAACAAAAAATTACTTCAGATATTTGAATCATATTTGCCAAATTTAATAACATTGTATTTGCAGTAGACAAGGCATGCTTATTTAGTAGAGACATTTTTCTATGCACATCATGTTATACTGCAATCTTTGCCAAAAACCTTGCATCATTTTTGCGGATTTTCTTTTTTCATCCCCCCTGACCCCCCCTGACCCCCTAAATACAATGTTGTCATTGATCATGTTACCATAGTACACAACCATCTAGAACAAGACCCAATATTGATGAAAGGGGGCTGAGGGGGAAAACTGTGACAAAATAAAGGAGAAACAAGTTAGGCTGCATGGCMAAGGTGATATGGCAACTTTTGCAGTTTCTTGCTCTTCGAACATGTTTTAAGACCAATWGAAGTTCCTTCTAACTATTGCATAAAACTGTTTGTTGTAAGGTCGGTAAAATTCTCGTAGTAGTTGTAAAGTTCTTCTTTTTACTTGTACGTGTTTACGRCCTTTGTTTGGTGGGAGACAGAACGATTTACCCTCATCRGAACCATCAGGGACAAAACATGGAAAACCTTTTCGTTGCTCAAATTTGAAATTTCTTTTCGTAAAGAAAGGTTGCAGACCAAGAAACGTSTCTACAGCCTTGATTTCCTTATAACGGTTTTTAACCAGKCCCTCTCCGCTGACAAAGTGAATCTCGTTTGGCGGGAAATACTCCAACCATTGCCGYAAATGTTTAATATAAACTCCTGTCTTTACAAGAGATGAATTCGCATTCACTGAACCATTTTTGTTGAGAACAAAGCTYTCAAACTTCTCATTTACAGCTGKTATTTTGTCCTTGCGGCTTCGTGCCAGTAGGTCGKTGTACTCGGACAAACACCGTTCAGYGGGGTCGCGCACWACTACCAAGAGTTTCAGSGGTTTGCTTGTAGATCTTGAAAACACAAACATCCTATGCACTACTTGGGTCTTTTCTACGCTCGTGAAGTACGTTGGGCTTTTTTCTATTGTTATTTGATCAGAGGAGGACAGGGGCATCTTTTGGCGGTACCATTCAAGACCTCTTGTATGAAACCCATTAAAAAAATACACCTCATTTGAAGCTCCAACTACCTTTGGGTGCATTTGAAGGGCTTCTAAAAGTGCCCTGGTACCAGCCTTTTTGACACCWAGAATGATTACGGTTGGGAACTGCCTCTGGAGATGGTTGATTGCTTGAATTTGGAGAGAAAAAAAMCCGTTAAAAATAAAAGGTTTGATAAATCAGGGTACAGAGAGGGTTGTGACATTGATAAGGAATCGCGTTATATRCATTGACATGATCAGTTTGTCGAGATTAGGATAGCCTCGTGTGCAGCCTCCCCTCTGTGACATCAAGGTTGAAATCACATTTCTTTTTCTATCCTTAGAATGCGTTTTTGTCCTGTGTTATTAAAATATCGTGTCACAAATACATAAAATATTTATTTTATACAACTGAGGTGTTAATGTTGTTTTTGGCCTTCAGGGCCAAGTTAGCGGTTATTSAAATTCACGTCMATTCACAAAGTTGCGTGTACTTCCTATGTTATCATTTAGGGCACAGTGCGCGTTTTCCACGGACCGGACAGTGAAAATACTGTTTTTATGACCAGACTGTCTAATGAGTAATGTACATATTACTCGGTCGATTGTTATCTAAGAAATCTTTGTTTGATGACGTAGTGATAGTTTAAGGAAATAGCATTCCAAAACTAAAACGTTTCGTGTCATGGTTTATTCAAATGTTATATGTGCTAAGTTGGCACGGTCAATATYGTTAAGTGAAAATCGCTTTTCACTCGAGTCACAGACCGTGACAAAACAACTTATGGCAACTAAGGACGTGACTGCAAAAATACAACAAACTTACCTTGATTTAAACTCCTTTTATTGTCTGTGACGACATAAACTTTCTTTTCGTTATTTGGTTTTTGTTTTGAGTATTTAAAGTGTGTTTTAGCAGTTTTCCCACGATCATGGCGGCGACGCTCAAATCGTCCTATCGATAACGTTGTTTCCAAACTTTTCTGGTTTCTCTTTTTGATATTTGTTGACTTGATTAACTCCCTGTTAGGGATTGTGAAATTCAATATAAATAAAGCAATTATAAAAATCAGAATAGAAGCAGACTTCTTCCTTGGCATCAGCATAGGCTACCCAACTAATGCTTGAGAGAAAGAAAAGAATGAATGCGCGATGAATGCGCACGCTTTTATACTCTAGTATCGGCGCGCGCTCTTAGTAAAATGCAGATTACCTGTGGTATTACGTCACGATCCCGTGTCTCGCGAGGGATTCAAACAAGTCTGTGACAAGGTATGAAACACTGGTCACGTGATGGACCGATGTGCGCCCCAGGTACAGTGTCTATCCCTCCCTATCGTTTTTTTTCGTATGGACTTCGAGAGCTTTCGTAAACAGTCGTATCGCTCGACATTTTTYCGATGGTCGACCGATAATGTCGCTCCCTTTCGTGAGTCTTTCGTCGAACTCCGTCACTGCCACATATTCACTGCCATAAACTTGGTCAGTTGATCTTTCATTGATTTTKCTCGGGTTTCTTTGTAGTTTTTGTTGGAAACCTACCTATCGATGTTTTGAAACTTGAAGCTTCGTGCAAAAGATGGGACTGTGCATTGTAAGGAGCAATTACTTTAAGAGAAAACATGTTTTTTAAGACACTTGAGTCACCTTGAAAACCGAAGCAGATAGACGTCGTGGATTTTTTACAGGTCTTAGAGTTGTTTGTTTATGACATAGATTAACTATAAGCAGGAATCAAGCTGATGGAGTGAGTAGTTGGAAAAGAGATATGTCTTTACATGTAATGATAGTTTTAGCCAGGTTTTTTTTTTTTGTTAGTGATAAACCCACGGAGAAAGCCGGAAAACTCGAGTGAACACTAAGCTTACGTTTTACCGCTTGGTTTCAAGTATGTCCAGTATTGCGACATGACACGGGTTGACAAACCAATTTGACGGRTTGACCATGTCGCGATCCAAACAAAGTACCGCCYACCCTCCCCACCCCAAGTTCAATTTTGTTTGATATTACCAATCTGTATCTTTTACCTTCCCCTCCCTATAAATATTTCTATTCTATGTTTGAAAATCATGTGATTTAACACACCTCCCTCATGCGTAGAGATCTTGTCACACACCCGGACAACCGGAAGCTGCTAGTTAATATGCTAATGAGATCCACGGCCGCAATGAGGGCCCTGCCAAAAAGTTGTCGGGTTGACACAACCGGACAATATGCTAATGAGCGCATGTTATAATTTATGATAACAATCGATCATTGTAGTATTTGCTTCGTTCTCAAAACACCCAAAACAGTTATAATGAGTCGTACGAACATTCCTCGTCATAATAACAATCATTGTAGTGTTTGATTCGTTCTCAAAACACCCAAAACA